TCCTCTTCACCACCTCTAGCTGGCACAAAGTGGGGTGGGAATGGGGATTTTACAGTATCCTTCCCCTGGAGTGGGGAGGGAATCCTTCTGCCGTGCCCACCAAGCCACACCCACAGAACTGGTAGTAAAAAAAATTGAATTTCACTACTGCCTCACACCATTTTCAGGAAGAAGAAACGCTAAGGTTGGTGAAGAGGATAGAGCAGGCTGGAGTTACTGCAATTGCCGTTCATGGAAGGTAAAGTAATTCTCTGTCTGAAAAGGAAAAAAAAAATTCTCATGAGTCCCACACCATAAAACTCTTTGAACTGCAATTGGTAGAACAGGCTCTACTGCAAAAAAAAAACAAAAAAAAAAAACGGTGGCGCAGTGGTTAAAATGCAGTATTGCAGGCTAACTCTGCCCATTGCCAGGAGTTCGATTCTCTACCAGCTCCAGGTTGACTCAGCCTTCTTGCTAATCCCTGGATCTTTTCCTTTTTGAAGGAAGAAAGAAGAGAGGCCTCAGCACCCTCTCCACTGCGAGGTCATCCAAGCCATCTCCGAGGCAGTTTCTATCCCAGTCATAGCCAAGTAAGTGGAACGAATTCTCTCTGAGGCAGGAGGGTCCCATCTAGGTGCAAGCAAGCTGCACGGATTGACAAAGTGCACTGTGAACATGAATGTTGCTTCCTCTGCAGTTAAGCAGAGCTTCAGACATCCTTGGGTAGTCCCAGTTTTTCCATTGTTAAGTGAGGCATTGGTTACGAGAGTTTTGCCCCATTTTATGAGCTTTCTTGCCACAGTCATTAAGTGAATCGCTGCACTGAATGTACTGCTGTGAACATTTGTAAGTCAAGGACTAACTGTCCTTAAAGTTCAAACTTTGCATTTGATAGAGTATCTACTGCATACAGGGATAGTCCTCAACTTATGACCACAATGGAGCCCCCAAAACAATAAAATACAATAGCAGAGTTGGAAGGGACCTTGGAGGTCTTCTAGTCCAACCCCCTGCCCAGGCAGGAAACCCTATACCGTTTCAGACAAATGGCTATNATATTCCATTTTTGCTCGTTCCCGTCCCCCCAGCCCCCAGGAGCACTTTGCAGGCCTCCCAAACCCTCTGTGTGTCCATTTTTATGAAGGGGACAGGGTTTCAGGAGGCAAAAAAAAAAAAATGCTGTATTCAGTGTATCACAAAAAATGAGGCATGCAGAGGGTTTGGGAGGTCTGCAGAGTGCAAAAACTTTTTTTTAAAATTTACCTCTTCAAAATCTTGGTGCGTCTTATACTCTGGTGCATCTTATAGTCCGAAGAATATGGTATTTGGTTGAGAACGTGTGGAGAGATGACATTTCCTAACGAGGAAATAATCTTTTGCAGGATTCACCTAAGTTTTCCAAGCAGTCATTCTGCGTCTCTGGTTCTTAAAAGACTCCTCTTATTTCCTGTTCTTTAGATTCTGACTACGCTCGTCAATGGAGTTTCTAAGCCAGTCACTTGCAAAATCCGAATTTTGTCATCGGTAAGAATATATTACGATATTTCAGATATAGCATGTCTAAGAAAAAAAAACTGATCCAGTGTTTTGATGCAAAAATACAGTTTTTGCTTTGTTTGTTAGCAACAATTGCATTGAGTGAAAATGTGAACCAATAAGGGAAATAACAGTAACCACACCTAATTTTGACTCTGGATCTTTCAACTATTGGCATGAGAAATAGCCCCAACATCTAGACAATGTGGCCTTTGAGACACCAAAAACAATATTCCCTGCTGCTTATATTCCCTTAGCTGCGAATAAGACCCATTCCATTGAGAATTGACCTAATATTTCTGAGTAGACTTTCCTAGGATGGCTCTTTTAAAACTCGGATAAGAGCCCAGATCAGATGTGGCCCCAACTGGTGCAGGATCCTTTATCGGAGTTCAGGAGATACTGAGATTAGCCTTTGTGAACTCTGTGCATTGTATGCTTTGGAAGCGCAAAGACATCATTCTGTACCAACACAATTTGTTCAACCCAATTTGCTGGGGGAAAGGCACAGGTTCCAAAGGCACACTGGATTCAAACTCACCCCCCACATTTGGGTGGGTGGGTTTCCACCCTGATAAAGATTCAGGAAGCTGATGTTGGGAAATTTGACACTTAGGCTGGAGGGAGGAGTCAAGCAAGGACCTATCTTGGAATGGTTGCACAGCCGTAAACCTCATAACCATGGTTGCCCCCCAAATCTATGAAGCCTTATTGAGCCTTTTCCAGGGGAAGGCAAACAATCTGATGAGATTCTTGTGAGATAGGTAACAAATAATAAAATTACTACTTGATTGCTCCAATTGCTTACACCGTGACAGCTATTAAATAAACAGCAGCTAGTTGCTGTTACCTGCTTCCTCACCAGATCAGAAGAGGATGGTTAGGGCTTTCTGATTTTCTTCATAACACACACAGGGACATACGATTCCAAAACTGGAAATTGGTTTGCTATAATTCTTGTAACCCCATCCCAATAAATCTCACTAAGGACTTGTACTTGGAAATCATTTGAGGCTTAATGCGCCTGCAAAGTGCCTGCAAAGAACCTGTCGCATGTTGTAATGAGTTGGGTAAGTCCAACTCATTACAACATGCGCCACCATCCCAAATCCAATGCAGCTTTTTGCTCCCCCCACCCGCCCCTCCAAAGGTGCATACCGTATTTTACGGAGTATAAGACGCACCAAGATTTTGAAGAGGCAAATTTTTTAAAAAAAAGTTTTTGCACTGTGCAGGCCTCCCAAACCCTCTGCATGCCTCATTTTTTGTGATACACTGAATACAGGTGTATTCTGTACGGGTTTTTGTCCCAAAAAAGGGCATGCATAGCCTTTAGGAGGCTTGTAAAGTGCTCCTGAGGGAGTGGGGCCCTCAAAAATGAGCAAAAAATGCACCGTTTTTTTGCAAAAATGCGCCCTTTTTGCCAAAAAAAGGGCATGCATAGTCTTTAGGAGGCTAATAGAGTGCTCCTCGGGGGCCATTTTTCACTCATTTTTGTCCTCCCTAGTCCCCAGGAGCCCTCTGGAAGCCTCCTAAAGGCTATGCATGGCCATTTTTGCAAAAGGGGGCGGGGTTTCAGGAGGCCAAAAATGCTGTATTCAGTGTATAAGATGCACCCAGATTTTCACCCTCTTTTTTGAGGGAAAAAGGTGTGTCTTATACCCCCCAAAATACGGTACTTATTATGTGGAACCTCATCCACATTTAGCTTCAGAAAAGTTAAATAGCAAACCTTGGGTGAAGGTTGAATGCCCCCCCCCCCAATACACATACCCTAGGCGTGAAATTCAGCAGATTCTGGAGAAACGATAGTGGAAATTTTGAGTATTTCAGAGAACCGGCAAATACCACCTCTAGCTGGCACAAAGTGGGGTGGGAATGGGGATTTTACAGTATCCTTCCCCTGGAGTGGGGAGGGAATNAAGTTTGTTTAGGCTCTTTCATTAGGAAAAAGTGAATCCTATCTAATCAAATAATTTGCACAGTTTTCCAAGAGAGAGAGAGAGAGAGAGAGAGAGAGAGAGAGAGAGAGAGAAAGAAAGAAAGAAAGAGAGAAGGAAGAAAGAAAAGAAAGCAAGCAAGAAAGCTATTTCCCGTAGATAATATCTTGTTTCCCTGATCTTTCCCCCACCTCTCACGGAGTAGAGAGAATGAGAGAAAGAGTTTTCAAGAGAGTAAGCTATCTGTGTAACATCCCTGTGGTTCCAAACCACAGGCATGTTATACTGTGGCATAATTGCATTGCTTTCTATGTACACAAGACAGGAAGCAGGCATGTGAGCCTTTCAAGGGGCAGGGAAGTTGGTAAACAAAAGCCGAAGGTGTGTACTTAAGTAGTGGTTTGAAAAGAGCAGGCAGAGCTGGAGAGCGGAGTGAAGTGTGTCATCAGTCTAGAATCATCATGTTCCTACAAATGGTCTTAAGTCCAACCCCTCCTGAATTCCATTAATCCTTACCAGGTGCCGATTTAGTATTGAATTTTATTTGACTGAAATGCCTTATGCATGACCTTGAACAATAAATCTTCTTTACTGCCACTTCGCATATGGTCCTGAATCTTTGCACCTGACAGCAGTCTTGTCACTTTCCAGCCATAAAGTGCAGTTGAGGTCGCATGATTTTCCATTTAACAGCTGCGTTGCTTAACAACAGAGCTGTTGGTCCCTATTTAGGGTTTTTAAATGAGGACTACCTATTTTTTTAATGTATATGTGATTACTTTGGGGAGCTCTTGAACTGAAGAATGAGCTAGAATAATCTTTCTAGAAAAGTAATCCTGTATGTTTTCCCCCCCTTACTGTTGTTCAGGGCACAGCTGATGCTGAGAGAGCCTTGGCGGTAGCCAAACTTGTGTATGTATCTTGTCAGAATATATTTACATGCATGCTACTTATGTATTGTACTTCTTTGATGTTATGTTCAAACATTTCTCATTATCTTATCTGCTATATAAGCAAAAGTGAAAACATCCCCAGGGGGGTTAAAACCAATTATAACAATGCTAACAAAACGACATCAGCTCCTTCTAAAACAGGGGTGTCAAACTCAAGGCTACTGGGACCCAGATCCAGCCTGTGGGATGCTTACATCTGGCCCTTGGGGCTGCCCTGCAAACAGTGAAGGACCGGCCCGCGGTGCCTCTGCCAGCAAAACTGGAGCTTGGGAGGTCCATGCGCAGCCCTCCCAGACAGCGTTTTCAGCCGCAACAGCCTCCTGCAGCCCTTTGCCAATGAAAGTGGAGCTGCGTGAGAGGGCTGCAGGAGGCTGTCACAGCCGAAAATGGAGCTCTGAGCCCATTTTTGCTCACAAAGCACTCAGGCCACAATAGGCGCCCTCTGGCATGAGAGATGTCAAGCTGGCCATGCCCAGCCTGACCCCCCAAGGTCAAACACAACCCTGATGCAGCCCTCAACGAAATCGAGTTTGGCACCCCTGCTCTAAAACCACAAAAATGATAACAAAGATGAAAAGAAAGTTAAAGTGGGATCTAGTATAGACTTAATTTTACTTGGCATTTAGCTTTACCAGTTAAGACTGCCTGGGTTGCCAATTCACTCCACATTTCCATTTGTATAATGCTTTATTTCTTTTACATTTTGCATATCTCAGGAGTAAAACTTGACAGTTTTAGTTTGGCATAATGTTTAGAGCAGGGATGTCCAGCCCTGGCAAATTTAAGACTTGTGGACTTCAACTCCCATAATTCCTCAGCCAGATCCAAGTCTTAAAGTTGCCAAGATTAGACAGTCCTGGTGTAGAGGATTGGATTAGAGGTCGGCAGTTTGGCGGTTCGAATCCCTAGCGTCACATAACAGAGTGAGCTGCCGTTACTTGTCCCAGCTTCTGCCAACGTAGCAGTTCGAATGCATGTAAAAATGCAAGTAGAAAAATAGGGACCACCTTTGGTGGGAAGGTAACAGCGTTCTGTGTGCCTTTGGTGTTTAGTCATGCTGGCCACATGACCACAGAGACGTCTTCGGACAGTGCTGGCTCTTCGGCTTTGAAATGGAGATGGGCACCGCCCCCTAGAGTCAGGAACAATTAGCACATATGTGCGAGGGGAACCTTTACTGGTTCTGGTGATAGCTTAAAGCTGTTATTTACTTATGCAAAGTATTACTTTCTTGTATTACTTTATTAAATTAATTAGGGAGCAGAACAGTTTAGAAAATGCTTGTCGCTCTTTCTTCAGTAAAACACAGTAAGAGATAACTAACGGTAATTTAAAATGGAGTTGCATTCTCTATGGTGAAGATGCAATTTATGTATGACTTGTTATGATTCTTATAAAAATCAGTATTTGGAAACTGATTCGGAAATTGCTGTTACTACATGAGCCGTATCTGGTTTGGAGAAAGAGAAATTTTGATCCTTCTGGCAATGAACTTGAGATAAGCAACCATGTAAAATTAAGACAATGCAAAATAAAAAAAACAGCAAATGTTCAAGAATAAATGATGATAGAATAAACAATTGCTTTTCATCTCATTGTTTCGGCCACTTATAAGTCGCTCTGAAAATGAATTGCTTGATAGCGTGTGTTTCTAAATGTTAGAATCTCCTTATGCGTTTGTGACTGTCTTTTTGCCCTTGTCGTTTCAGAGAGGATGATGTTGCTGGCATCGATGTCAACATGGGATGCCCCAAAGAGTATTCCACAAAGGTATGGGTTTTTTTCCTTTTTGAATCATATTTATAGTTGCCTCCAATTTTATGAATGTCTGCATCACTTGGATCATAATTTGAATTACGTCAATTTTCTTATTCATTTAATCGAAGACTCTAAAAGTATGAAATACTTTTTTCTTTCAAGCCTTTGAAAGGACACACACACACACACACACACACACACAAACAAACAAATTTGCAGGCTGCAAATACATTTGTGCTTAACTGAAAGATTTGCGTGTTGTGACATAGTAGCTAAGTATATTAACAGAAACTTTGTGTCCAAGAACAGGAAAACAATTTGGGTTTTTTTTTTAAAAAAAA